GAAAATATCTCTCCTCTAAGGGAAAAGAATAACTCCTTTTCCTCCACAGAGACTACAAGGGAACTCATGGAAATGTCAGATAAAGAATTTAAAATATTCACAGTGGCAAAGCTAACAGAGATGCAAGAGAAGAGAGACAATGAACTCCAGAAGATGCAGGAGACAAGAGACACCAAGTTCCAGGAGATGGAGAAGTTGTTGCACGATCTGAAAGAGGAGATACACATCTTAAAAAAGAATCAAGGGAAATTGTTAGAGATGAAGGTTGTAATACAGAAAATCAAGACTTCCCTTGAAAATATCAAAAGCAAATTAGATCATGCAGAAGATCGAATCTCAGACGTAAAAGATAGAACCTCTGACCTAGAAAACTTAACCAAAAAAACATAAAATAACCAAAAAAAAACCAAATAAGTAATAATAGATACCATTAAACACCCAGACATCTAGATCATTGGTATCCCAGAAGGTGAAGAAACTGATAAGTGCATTGATAATCTAGTCCATGAAATCCTGAAAGAAAACTTTCCAAACCTAGAGAGGCATGCAAATATCCAGACCCAAGAAATACAAAGGACCCCACCATGTAGAATCAACTCATGAAGATCTTCCCCCAGGCACATCATAGCCATATTGACCAAAGCCACAGACAGAGACAAGATACTAAATTTGGCAAGAGAGAAACGTCAAGTTACTTTCAAAGGATATCTCATAGGACTTTCCTCAGACCCTCATCAGAAACAAAGCAAGCAAGAAAAGAATGAGAAAATATATTCAAAGTGTTAAGTGGAAAACAATTTCAGCCAAGAATACTATACCTAGCAAGATTATCCTTCATATGGAAAAATAAAGACAAAAACATTTTCAGACAAACAAAACCTGAAAGAATTTACCAACACCAGACCAGCTCACTAAAGATTTTAAGGTGCTGCTTTATAGGATGTTCACTTAACTTACTGAGGTTTACACCTAAAGTCAAACATGCATTCATAGATATGCATATATCAGCCGTGCTTGCTATTGAAAGTTTTTTAATTAATTAAAATCTTTAGTGAATCAATAAAATGTGAAACAAAAGGCATGGAAAACAACTGTACATACCAGAGACAGTGTAGAGGAAGGGGGGGAGTTGGCAGAGGACATGAGGTAGAGAATCAAGGAGGGGGAGCAAAATATAAGAAACAAGAAATAGAAAATTATTTGTTGATGATAATATGTATGTTAATATCCTTGATTAAGCCAATTTACAATGTATTCTGGATGGAAAATCTCATTTTGTATACTGTATTGATGTACAGTGAATGCCTATAAATAAATAAATACAGGGGAAAAAAATGGAAGGAGAATTGAAGTAATTTCCAGATAGACAAAAAGAATTTACTAAAACTAGACCAGCTCTCCAAGAAAGTACTACAGCAAAATATGAAAGGAAGATAATAGAAGATAATTAGAAATAAGAAATTAGAAATAAGAAAACATAAAACAACTAGGAAATTAACTAACCAAATGGCAGGTGAATGTTTGCACATAGCAATGATAATGTTGAATGTAATAAATGGTTTAAATTCCCCAATAAAAGACATAGACTGGCTAAATGGATTTAAAAAATAAAAAGGAGCTCTCTGTATGTTTAGACAAAAAGAATTTACTAAAACTAGACCAGGTCTGCAAGAAAGTACTACAGCAAAATATCAAAGGAAGATAATAGAAATAAGAAAACATAAAACAACTAGGAAATTAACTAACCAAATGGCAGGTGAATGTTTGCACATAGCAATGATAATGTTGAATGTAATAAATGGTTTAAATTCCCCAATAAAAGACATAGACTGGCTAAATGGATTTAAAAAATAAAAAGGAGCTCTCTGTATGTTCCTTACAAGAAGCACACCTCATTGGTAAAGATATACACAGATTGAAAGTTAAGGTTTGGAAAAAATTGTTTTATGCAAATGAAAACCAAAATAACCCTAGAGTTGTGATACTGATATCCAACAAAATAAACTTTGAACTAAGATCAATAAGAAGACAAGGTTGCCATGAAGTATTAAAGGGATTAATTCACCAAGAAGACATAGCAATTATAAATATTTAAGCACCCAACACCAGACTACCAAAAAACATAAAACAAAGACACTTAGACCTAAAAAGAGAAATAGACTACACCACAACAATTGCTAGAGATTTTAATAGTCCACTCTCACCTCTAGACAAGTCTACTCTCATCTAGACCAAAAATAATAATAAGAAGAAAAAGAAACTTGACCTAAATAATACCATAAACCAAATGGCTCTGACAAACATTCATAGAACATTTCTCCAGACAACTACAAAATACCTACTTTCCTCAGTCCTACATGGAACATTTTCCAAAGAATGACCACGGAATAGTTCACAAAATAACCTTTAATTTTTTTAATAGAAATCATATCTAGCATCTTTTCTAATCACAATAGAATACTTGAAATTAAGAGCTTTTGAAAATACACAAATACATAAAAACTAGATAGTATACTTCTGAACAGCTTCAAAACTACTGAAAAAATTAAGAATGAAAAATTTCAGTTTCTTGGAACACTTGGTAATGAAAACACAACTCTGGAAAATCTATGAAATATAGTGAAAGTAGTGCTAATAGAGAAGTTTATTGCAATTAGTGCACATGAGGAAAAGTAAAAAAGATGGCAAATAAATAACCTAACGATGCATCTTAAGGAACTGGAAAAGCAATAATTTTAAAAATACAAAAAGTAATAGAAGAAAAAAATTATAAAGATTAGAGAAGAAATAAATGAATTATACAATAAAAGAACAAAAAATGAAATGAAAGGCATTTTTATTGAGAGGATAAACAAAATTGACAAGCCATTAGCTAGACTAACAAAAATAAAGAACTCAGATAAATAAAATTTTTTAAAAAGATACTACAACAGTTAACCCAGAAACATAAGAGTATTAGAAAATACTATGAGTGACCATAGACCAACAAATTGGAGAATTTAAAAGAGATAAATTTCTGACCACATACATATAGCTAGATTGAATCAGGAAGAAATAGAAAGTCTGAATAAACAAATAACAAACAAAGCAACTTAGTCAGTAATAAATAGTCCTCCTATAAGAAAACACACAGAGTCAGTTAGTTTCACTGCTGAATTCTATAACCTTTAAAGAATAATACCAATTCTATAAGAAAACGCACAGAGTCAGTTAGTTTCAGTGCTGAATTCTATAACCTTTAAAAAATAATACCAATTTTTAAATTATTTGCAAGGATCCAAATGGAATGAAACCTCCAACTCATTCTATGAAGCCTCCATCACCCTGATAGCAAAAGCAGATAAGGACACAGAAAAAAAGAAAACTACACACCAACATCCCTGATGAGCTGAGATGCAAAAGTCCTCATCAAAATACTAGCAAGTCAAATCCAACAGCATAATATAAAGATTATACATCATGATCAGGTAGGCTCTCTCCCAGGGATTCAAGGATGGTTCAACATATGAAAAACAAGAAATATGAGTAAAGTCACTATGTATGTTTTCATAGAAAAACAGAAAAATATATCATGATGTTTTTAATGATCCAATATGATATATCATATTATCAGAAGGAAAGATAAAATCTAGAGAGGCAAAGCATTTATGGGACAAAGAAATGGGTTATTACCTGTTGAAGAAAACTTCATGGTATTGTGAACTGGTGAGAAAGGTATACATGTTGGAATATTCACTTTGTAAGCTAAATAACGTGATTGAATGTATAAAAGAAATTGAAATTAAAAAATAATAAATAAATAAACATGTAACCATGTAAAGTGATGCATCATTTGGTAAAGTACAACATTCCTTCATGATTAAGACTCTCAACAAAATAGGTATAGAAGGGACATTTGTTTGTTTTTCTAGATTTTGGTCATAGGGCACATGCACTTGCCGGAAACAGAAGGGGATGAGGAGTGAAAAATCACTCCTTAGCAAGGATAGCTATGCCACAATCTCTTCATTCTTCTCTCGGTATTTTGGGCACACCTGCCCACACACGTGGCATGATTTTCAAGTCTCTTGGTCTAGGAATCAAGCCTCACACTTGACCACGTTGGTTCCAGCACCTTAACCACCATGCCACCTGCTGGCCCAGAAGGAACATTTCTTAAAACAATAAAAATCATAAATGGCAAACACACAGCTAACATCATACTGAACAGGAAAAAACTGAAAGCTTTCCTACTAAAAACTGGAACAAGATCATTTTATCCACTTTTTCCACTCCATTACAAATAGTACTGGAGGTCCTAGCCAGCACAATCAGACAGAGAGTGAAATAAAAGTCATTCAATTATGAGAGTAAGAAATTACTATTTGCAGACATGATTATAAACATAGAAAATTCTAAAGAATCCATGAAAAAATTTCTAGAAGTGATAAACTAATTTGGCGAAGTCACAGGATATAAAATCAATGTTTAAAAAACAACTAGCTTTATTATATACCAAGAGTGAACAGGCTGAAGCAGAATTGAAAAAAGCAATCCCATTTACAATGTACATAGATATAGAAATAAAATGCATAGAAATAAACTTAACCAAAGAGGTGAAAGATCTCTACAACAAAAACTATGAACAAAATCAAAGAAATAGATTTTTTTTTAAGTGGAAAGACATCCTTACTCTCTCTCTCTCTCTCACTCACTCTCTTTCTCTTTCTCTCTCTCTCTGGTCACATTAAAAATAATAAGTAAAATTCAAAAATGTTTAAAAGATTGTCCAAAATTCCATTTCCAATATGTATGTTACATTACTGGCAAGAGACTTCATGGCTTTCTCTTACCTCTGCCAATAAAAAACCCTGGGTTATTTTCTGGATGATTTTCTTAGCTGTCCCACTAAAGAATTAAGATGATATTCTTCATGTTAAGCATTCCAGAATTCTCTTATTCTTTTAGTTCATATATAAACGTAGTGACTAGGCAGTAATAAATGTGGTATTTATTTTCAGTTTATTATCTCGGGAACATTGTCAGTATTGATAGAGAGGACGCGGTCAAAGCACTTGGTAAGTCAGAATGTTTATATCAACTTGAGTTTGCCAAAGCAAAGGTTAATCAGTGACTCAACCTTCTGAGTTTGAGTCACTAGAAACTTACCTTCAAAACCTACTTACTTACATCTTTTTTGTATTTTATTTCACTAATTATAGAAATAATTCAGGAAGTTGGAGGCCAATCAAGAAATTAATTTCTGTATGATAAATTATTTAATGCAACTCAAAATGTCAACTATATTATGTAAATGTGGATATCATGAAATGACCCAATATCTGTTATTACCATCTTTTTTTTCTTGCTTTCATATGTTCAGGAACTTTTAATGTATGGTAGACATTGTGTATGAGAGAGTGTAATGATTGTGGATTATGGTGGTTTCCCTTACAGAGTGTTAAGTTTTGCATTGATGTAGTAAGATGAAGAATAATACATTGCAATAATTATATATATTAATGCCAGAAATTGACTTCATGGAGTTAGGAACTCCTTCTTCCACAAAAACAAAAGAAATACTAGAAAAAGAACTGAAATTAACAACGATGTGGTAGAGCACCATCATTTCAGTGCAATCATTATTTTTGTCTGAACTTGCAGTTCCCTGAAAAGTCCATATTCCTTGGATAATGTAACTATCTTTTTGGACATAGATATCAGCTCAGTAATGACAAACCCTACTACTAGTTGGCTTGAACTGTATCAATCTGCTAGTAACAGCACATCTGGATAAGGCTTTGAATTCAGGTACATAAGAGCCTGCTCAGAAATGTAAAAGGAAATCCTGAACAACCAGACAATCAGAGAGCTTTGAAAAACTATGATGTGTTACTGTAGATCATACATTTGGAAGACTTGTGCATTCTCAGGAAATATGTGAAAAATGAAGGCTCATTTATTCACCTCTGGCTGACTGTGAGGCCCTAGGCAAGCAGGAAGTGAAAGTTAAGCTTACCTTGTAAAAAAGTTTTGTTTTGTTTTAATAATTTTTAAAAGAATTCTTTAATTTGGGGGCAGCAGTTAGCATAATGGCTATGTCACTGGACTCCCATGTAGTTGAGATTTGAGTCCTGGACCTGGGGGCTTAAACTCACGCCCGACGTGTGTGTGTGTGTGCGTGCCCAAGATCCTGAGAGAATGGAATAGAAGGGATTATGGCATGACCAATCCCCCCTGGGGGGTGATTTCTCGTTTTCTATCTCTCTGTCTCTGTCTGTCTGGCAAGTGCACGTGCCTATTAGCAAAAACCTCTTCAAAAAAAAAGAATATGATACATGAAATTAAAATCTCCCTCAGAAGTATTAAAAGTAGATTAGATCACACAGGAGATTGAATCTTAAATGTAGAAGACAAAACCTCTCACCTAGAAAAAAGTTTCAAAAAGACTGAGAAAACAACAAAGAAAAATGAGGATAAAATACAAGAAATACTAGATACCATCAAGCACCCCAACATCTGGATAATGGGTATACCAGAAGAAGAAGAAAATAACAAGGGCATTGATAATTTATTTCATGAAATCACCTGAAAGAAAACTTTCCAGACATAGAGAATATCCAGACCCAAGAAATACATAGGACCCCAAACAGAATCAACCTGAGAAGATCCTCTTCAAGGCACATTACAGCCAGATTGGACAAAGCCACAAAGACAAGTTACTAAAATTGGCAAGAGGGAAACGTCAAGTTACTTACAAAGTTCACCCCATCAGGCTAACATCAGACTTCTTGTCGGAAACAATGCAGGCAAGGAAAGAATGGGGAAATATAGTCAAAGTGTTAAATGAAAAACAATTTCAACCAAGAATACTATACTCAGCAAGATTATCCTTCATATGGGGAAAAAAAGTTTAAAACATTCTCGGATAAACAAAACCTGAAAGAACTTACCAACTCCAGACCAGCTCTTCAGGAGGTTATGAAGGGAGTGCTATACCAGGAAAACTAAAAAGTCATATAGACAGTTATAAGAAAACAAAAAACAACTAAGAAAATGGCTCACTTAATGATAGGAACAGGTCTGGGAATATCGATAATAACATTGACTATTAATGGATTAAACTCTCCAATTAAGAGATACAAACTGGCTAAATGCATCTAAAAAAAAGAAAGAAAGAAACCCTCTATCTGTTGCCTACAAAAAACGCATCTTATGGATAAAGACATAAATAGACTAGAAGTGAAGGGATGGAAAAAGATATTCCATCCAAGTGGAAATCAAAAAGGGCAGGAGTTGTGATATTGATTTCAGACAAAATAGGCTTCAAGACAAAGACTGTAAGAAGTGACAAAGAAGGGCATTATATTATAGTAAATGGGCTAATTCATCAAAAAGACATAAGACCTGTAAATATCTATCCACCCAACTCAGGAGCACTGAAATGCTTGTAGGGAAGACTTCTGGAGTTAAAAGGAGAGATAGGGTGCAACACTATAATTGTTGGGGATCTCAACACCTCATTATCTCCTTTACACAGATCTTCTAGACAAAAAATAGATACAAGACCTAAATGATACTATAAATCGAATGGCCTTGACAGACATCTATAGAACTTTCTACCCTAAGACCACAAAATATACATTTTTCTCACCCTGGCATGGGACCTTTTCAAAGACTGACCACATGATAGGACAAATCAAGCCTTTATAGATTAAAAGGCGTAGAAACTATATTCAGCATCTTCTCTGACCATGATGGAATTAAACTCAATATTAATTTCAAGAAACACTTTTGAAAATACACAAACACAAGGAAACTAAGCAATCTACTTATGAATGACTTAACTACTGAAAAACTTAAGTCTGAAATCAAAAACATTTATGGAGACAAATGATAATGAGTACATGAGCTTCCATAATCTGTAGGGCACAGCAAAAACAGCCATAAGAGGGAAATTCATAGCAATTAGTGCACCTAAGAAAAAGATGGAGGGACCAGCAGTTAGCGTAATGGTTATACAGCTGGACTCCCACGTAGTCGCCTGCGGTTCGAGTCCCAGACCCGGTGACTTAAAACTCATGCCGGGCATGTGTGCATGCGTACCCAAGATCCCAAGAGGAGAATGGAAGAGAAGGGATTGCGGCATGACCATCCCCCCTGGATGATACAAGTTTCCATAACCTATAGGACACAGCTAAAGCAGTCAAAGATCATTGCAATTAGTGTGTATGGAAAAAAAAAAAAAAAAGATGGAGAGGTGGCAAATTGAAAATCTAACATCATACCTCAGGGAATTGAAAAAACAACAACAATCACCCAAAAAATGCCAGATGAAAAGAAATCATAAAGATTTGAGCAGAAATACATTAAATAGAAAATAAATGAACTATATAAAAAATAAATGAAAGCAAAAACTGGTTCTTTGAAAAGATAAACAAGATTGATCCACCATTAGCTAAACTGATGAAGAAGAAAGAAAGAAATCAGATAAATCAAATATGCAATAAAACAGGCAATATTACAACAGAAATACAAAACTTCATTGGAGGACACTATGAGAATGCATTTGATTCATAAAATACAACATCCCTTCATGATTAAGACTCTCAACAAGATAGGTATAGAAGGGTCATTTCACAACACAATAAAAGCCATACATGAAAAATCTATAGCTAGCATTATACCAAATGGGGGAAAGCTAAAAGCTTTTCCACTAAAACCTGGTACTAGACAAGGCTGCCCACTTTCTCCACTGCTTTTTAATATAGTACTGGAAGTCTTAGCCAATGAAATCAGAAAAAAGAATGATATAAAAGGCATTCGAATAGGTAAAGAACAGTTTAAAATATCTTTATTTGCAGGTGATATGATGGTATACTTAGAAGATCCAAAAGTTTCAATGAAAAAACTTCTTGAAGTAATAAATACAGCAAAGTAGCAGGATAAAAAATGAACATCCAAAAATCTATAACATTTCTATATAGGAACAAGTTGAATGAAGTAGAGCAGAAGAAAGAAATCCCTTTTACCATAGTCACAAAATGTATAAGATACCTAGGGATAAGCCTAACTAAGGAAGTCAAAGATCTTTACAAAGAAAACTGTGGGCACGCACGCACACACGCCCGGCATGAGTTTAAGCCACCAGGTCCAGGACTCGAACCGCAGTTGACTACATGGGAGTTCAGCGACATAGCCATTACACCAACTGCTGGTCCCAAGCCTATCTTTTTAATAAATTAGATAGTTGAAAGCAATGCTTTTTAAAAGTTGTACAAATTTCCCTTTCATCTATTTTCTTTAATATTGACCTAAGCTAGGACATAAAAATTCTGTCAGAGGGTCCAGGAGGTGGGGTGGTGATCAAGGTGCTAGATTCCCATATGCCAAATGCAGTTTGAGTCCCAGACCTGGAAGTTTGAAAATTGTGCCTGATGCAGGTGCATGCATGGCCAAAATCTCAGGAGGAGAATAGAGGAAGAGGGATTGCAGCATGGTCACACCCCTTCCCCTGGGGGGGGGGGGATTTCTCACTTTCCCTCTCCCTGTCTCTCTCCAATGAGTGTGCACACCCTATATGGCAAATAAAACCTTTAAAAAAAAAAAACGTGGAAAAGGAAGGACACGCTAAACCCAAAACAATAGAAGGGAAGTAATAATAAAGATCAGAACAGAAATAAATGAATCTCAGTTCCTGTGGGGGACATGACCATGCCCCATTGGGGAGTTTCTCTCTCTCTCTCTCTCTCTCTCTTTCTCCCTGTCTCTGTCTCTCTCCACCACCACCACACTTTCTCTCTCTGGTGAGTACATATGCCACCTGGCAATTAAAACAAAAAACAAAAAAACTTTATCTGATAACACACTCAATGCTATAAAACTGAATGTTTTCTCTCTAAGATCAGAAACAATGCAAGCCTGTACTATCTAACCAAATCTATTTAACATCGTATAGCAGTTCTTATTCAATGAAATAAGTAAAAAAAAAAAAAAAAGAAAGAAAAAAGATACAAAAAGCATAAAGATTGAAAAGGCTGAAGTGCTACTTACTTTATACACAAACATCCTAAAGAAAATATCCTATGACATGCTGAAACATCCTAAAAAATCTACAAAATAACTTAGAACTAATAAGCGAATTCATCAACATTGCAGAATACAAGTTTGCTATATTTTAATTTTTAATTTCCATATATCAAAATTTAAATTTTTAAGTTTTATTTTATTTATAACTGAAACATATTACAAATTTATGGGTACAGTGTTAAAAACATCAATTACAATAACACACAAAAATAAAATACTTAGGGAGTACTTCCCCTAAGTGTTAATAAAATATTTTCAAGATCTCCATATAGAAAACTAAAAACCATTATACTTAGAAACAGAAGAATCTAAATAGCAAAATAAGTTTATGGGTGGAAAAGCATAAGAACTGTAAGATATTTTATATACTTGAAAATGGTCAAGAAAATAGACTATAAATGTTCTCACTACAAAAACAAATGGTAAGTATATAAAGTAATGGGTATGTTTCATTAGCTTGATTTATCCTTTCTATAACATATACAAATATTAAAACATCATGTTGTACACAATAAATGTATAGTTTTTGTCCAATAAATAAACTAAAGCTGTAATATTGGTGTGTGTATGTATATATTTGAATACATGTATAATCAGCTCTCTGTAATCATGGGTTCCACATCCAGAGGTGCAACCAACTACAGATCAAAACAATTTGGGGGAAAAAAACCACTAAATAATAACAAAATAATAAGAAACTATTTAAAAATTTAAATACAGTACAGTGTTTACAGTGCAGTAAACATAGTGGTATTAAGTATTATGAATAATCTAGAGACAGTTTGAAGCACACAAGAGAATATACATTAGTTATATTTAAATATTATGTCAAGGACTTGAACATCTATGGATTTTGGTAACCATCAAGGGTTCTGGAGCTGTGTGTGTGTGTGTGTGTGTCCCTATAGTTAATATTCTTATACATAGATATAAAAATATAGTCCTACTCTTGTCAAATATATTTGGTAAATTGATTTTGGACAAAGGCGCCAATGTAATCTGGTAGGAAATAAACAGTCATTTTGAAAATTGGCACTGCCGCCACAGAATATGTGTATGGAAAAAACATGACTTCTGACCTTTACCTCATATCATAGACAAAAATTAATTTGAAGTGTATCATAAATCTAAACATCAAAACTAAAATTATAAAATTTCTAGAGGACATGATAGAAAATATTCTATTTGGCCAAGGGATAAGAAAAGGCTTCTTAGGATCTAGATCAAGAAATTGTGAAAGCAAAATTGATAAACTGGACATCAGAATTAAAACTTCTAATACTTAAAAGACACTGTCTTTTAAAAGACAATTTTATTTATTTCAAAAGGAACTTGAAAGATAAGCCACACACTGAGAGAAAATATATGAAATGTATATATCTGAAAAAGAACCCATATCTGGGACCAGCAGTTAGCATAATGGCTATGTTGCTGGACTCCCATGTAGTCAACAGCGGTTCGAGCCCCAGACCCGGTGGCTTAAACTCACGCCAGGCATGTGTGTGTGCATGCCCAAGATCCCAAGAGGAGAACGGAGGAGAAGGGATTGTGGCGTGGCCATCCCCCTTGGGGGAGTGATTTCTCACTTTCTGTCTCTCTGTCTCTCTCTGTCTGTCTGGTGAGCGCATGCGCCCTATAGCAAAAACCTTTCAAAAAAAGCAAAAAGCTATTTGTTTCAAATATATATTACTTTTCTTATTAAAGAAATCAAATTAAATTAAATTTTAAAATTTTTAAAAATTTATTTGAGTGAAGAATTAACTGTACGCTTGTTGTATCACAGGTTAGATCATTTCTAAAACTATTTAGTCCTATTGGGGTGCTGGAAAATCTGAAGTTCTGACAGTCTTTTTAATAATCTTACTATTCTGGAAAGATCAGAATTTATATAAATATTCTACCTAAACATATTTTCTAGTGATGTAGATGGACAACTTCCAATGACTAAGTGACTCTTTATCTGTTCTAGGTGAACTGTACTATAGTAATGAACATTTTAAGTGCCATTATTGCAACGATTGGTCTGATTTTATTATCATTGGAGCTTTTATTATATAAAATAAGTTCAGGAACTCCTATTTGGCCACATGTAAGTACCAGATTTCTATGAGAATTTCTTCACAATTTTAGAGTTACATATTAAATTCCTTGGAGATGGGAACATATTTGAGTATTATGCAAGACATGAAGGTGAGTTTCAATATTGGTTTACTCTTTGGCATATGCATCTACTACAAATGTGATTCAACGTACGGTTATATATTTCTAAACCTAGGAATTCTAAAACCTGAAGTAAACAAATGGAGGGTATTACAAAAATTAATAGATCTATTTTTGTGTAATTAAGCATTATATTCCATTTTGGACCTACCTGGTACTGATGATATGTTTAAGATGGACTGCCCGGTTCTCCCCAGGTACCTGCATCTCTAAAGCTAGTTATTTTAAGTCTTACGAAATCAAGTTTGTTATAGCAAGACTTGATCTTCAAAGAAGGAAATGACATTGTTGTATACCTATGATATCCAGGGATTTATGTTCAATAACAGGAGAAGATAAAGCTGAACTCTACACATGGAGTTTGGAATGCCTTCGTACTCAGTTCCATATGCACATGACTGTATGGACATGTTGACACTGTCTGCCTCGTATCTGTCAGTTTGTCAGACATCCCTGTGAGACTGTTGAAGTGTGTCCATATTTGTACTTAGTATCTATGCATGTCTGTGTCTCTGTGTGTGTAAGACTATGTTCATATGTGCACTTATCTATATATGTTTGTTGATAGAGAAGAGGAAAGGAGGGCAAAGTGATGGCAGTCAGCACTAAGCGAGTTGTGTAGGAACTGAAGCCGTAGGACCAACGTCTTCTCTGTAGATTCCTATCCTTCTGTTCTATCCCATCTGTCCAGGACTTACACAAATCGAGATAGCTGGGACTTTGACCAAGACCAGAAAACAACTTTTCTAAATTAAGCCAAATAGATATTGCCTGTGTTTAAGTTCCTTACCTAGTTAAGCAAGGTCTCCTTACTTCAATATTCAAAACTCTTGGTTAATTAGCTAGTTCCAGAACATATATTGGTTTGCATTTGGCTGGATTTTTATCTATTTCTATGTCTCTTTGAAAATGATTTTATAGTGATCAGGGTTGCAGACTTCCTAGGAAATCATTTACGTCTCTGATTCCATACAGAAACCAACTTAGAAATCTTTTTTTTTTCTTTTTTTGTTTTTCTGCTATTTAGGGTGGGTGTGCTCACCAGCAAAGTGATGGCAGTCAGCACTAAGTGAGTTGTGTAGGAACTGAAGCCGTAGGACCAACGTCTTCTCTGTAGATTCCTATCCTTCTGTTCTATCCCATCTGTCCAGGACTTACACAAATCGAGATAGCTGGGACTTTGACCAAGACCAGAAAACAACTTTTCTAAATTAAGCCAAATAGATATTGCCTGTGTTTAAGTTCCTTACCTAGTTAAGCAAGGTCTCCTTACTTCAATATTCAAAACTCTTGGTTAATTAGCTAGTTCCAGAACATATATTGGTTTGCATTTGGCTGGATTTTTATCTATTTCTATGTCTCTTTGAAAATGATTTTATAGTGATCAGGGTTGCAGACTTCCTAGGAAATCATTTACGTCTCTGATTCCATACAGAAACCAACTTAGAAATCTTTTTTTTTTCTTTTTTTGTTTTTCTGCTATTTAAGGTGGGTGTGCTCACCAGAAAGACAGAGACAGGGAGACAGAAAGCGAGAAATCCCCCCCTCCCCAGGGGGGATGGCCATGCCGCAATCCCTTCTCCATTCTCCTCTTGGGATCTCGGGCACGCATGCACAAGCGCCCAGCGTGAGTTTAAGCCACTGGGTCCAGGACTCGAACCGCAGTCAACTACATAGGAGTCCAGCAACATAGCCATTACACTAACTGCTGGTCCCTTCCCAGCTTAGAAATCTTAAGCTACTTGCTCAGGGTCACAAGGCTAGTCACTTGATTACACATCTAATCAAGGATGGCCTAAATTCCAAGTCATTTCACCATACAAAATTGAGCCTTAATAGAAATCAACTCAGTGGCACATCAGAGAAATATTTCATTGCTGTAGGCAATGTCAATGTGTCAACCTTCTCCGATGGATACCTTAAAGTGATAGCTTAAATAAATATAAACCTCAAGATATTACTAAAATTGGTTACATATGCATAACAGGAATTACTTACTTTATTGTATTGAAGTTCAGTTGTGGCCTTAAGTCTTTCATTTTTCTAATTCATCCCTTGAAGCACCAATGTTCCTATTAGCAGAAAATCCATGCTCTTTTCTTTGAGTGCCCTCCTTTTCCCCCTTCCTGTCAACCTTCTGAAGTTATTACACAACACTGGGAGTCCCCCTTCCTGTCAACCTTCTGAAGTTATTAAACAAAAATGGGAACCAAAAGTTCAGTATTGACTCCCACTCCCTAGTTAATAACATCTTGGGGCATTTCAACAGTCCATCATGCATGCCTATAATTTCCACTGCCATGCCTCTGTTAATATTAAGTGGTGTTATTTTTTAACATAATCTGAATAGCCGATGGTGGCCTCACAAAAGTGCTTTTGGTTGGACCTCTATGCTATAGATAGTACAAATATTAAAATTATTACAGATTCTGAGGGCCAGTCCTATGACTTAGTATTTAAGGGTGCTGGATCCCATATGGCTGACTGCAGTTCAAATCCTGGCCCTGATGGCTTGAAAAACACATTGGGTGTGTATGTGTGCATGCTCAAAATCCCAACAGGATGAAGAAGTGAAGGAGAAGGGATTGCGGCATGACCGTGCTCCATTGGGGGTTGTTTTTCTCCTCTGTCTCTGCCACTCTCTAACAAACACTCTCTGGCAATTAAAAGAAGATTAGTACAGATTCCATATTCTTGTTCTCAGCCCAAATATCTGTAAGGACATGAGCCTATTGGGGTGCATAGTCAGAGGCCCAATTCCAGCAGGAAACAGCCTGCCTGTAAGACATGTAAGCCCGTATGCTGAGTACAAGCTACAAACCCAAACTTTTCCTTCATCACTATGAGTTCCTATTGTATTTAGGGCCCTTTCCTTACAATGGGGAATTTTAGACACCTTTCCATTAAAAAAGTCCTGTAACACTAAACCTCACGGTATCTCAATTCCATCTTCTCTGGAGGTTCATTAGCCTTAATGAAAATTTGCTGATCTTATCCACAGCAACAAACAGGAAAGCGTAATCAATGATTCTCATTATTCATTTGGCAAAAATTTATCAGCTTATCATTATTCTCATTTTCTAGTATGTTCATTATGATCAAATTATTTTATATGTATTATCAAAAACATAAAAAAAATTCAGCTGTTGAGGGTAGAGGTTATAGTGGATAGTTTTTCTCTTCTATTTTTCTTCTTCCTGGTATCTTATGATAACTTTTATTGTTTTGAAGTGTTAACATATGGAGATCTATAAGGAATGTATATTTTTTTCTTTTTGATACAGGTAAGTGGCAACATGCTTTCAGAATATTTGTTCCTATTTACCTTTCTGGAGTTGTTTTTGTCAGTTTTAGTGACCTCCTGGGCATACGAAGCAAAAAGAACATAATAAAGATACAGTAAGTATCTCATTTCTTCTCTGGTGAATCAGAAGATACTGTTTTGTAATCCAAGCCCTATTTTAAAGAACCATGGTTTGGGTAATAATTTAGGGTAGTGTCGTCTCTAAGCTGTAGTTGTAAGTAGGCGAAAATACTCTGCACTCATTGTTGTGCCCTGGATAGGTCTCTCTACAGTTGAAGGTAATAATTTGCCCTATATAAAAGTGTTTTAATTTATGGGATAATTTTATATCCACTCTTGTGAGAGAATAAGGTAAGAGAGAGATGATTTCGTGACTCGGGTCTCCTTATTCCCCTGTAAGCAAAAAGCTTTGTAGAGGTTGTTACCAGGCACAGGGTTATGGGAATGCTAAAGTCTTAAACCTGCAATTCTCAAAATTTGGAAAAATGAGTTGAATATTAAAGTGTAGAAACTTTAGTGTCTTCGAACCCCAAGATTTTGAGGTAACTGGTGAATTGGGAAACATGTAAAACCTTTTTCTATAAAGCTATTTTCCAATTTCCTCCACAGCTACTATTTCAGTCTAAAGGTAAAATTTATCACCAGTTGACCCAAACTTCACTAAATCAGAGAACTTTCAGGAGAGATGTATCTGTCCCTCCTTCCAAATGCCAACCACCTAAGAACAACTCAGAAGGGCATGGTTAAAATAAAGGAGAGGGTGATTTGTGCATATACCCTAGAACAGAAGCACAGGGAAGTTTAGGAAACTTCGGCCCTCTGCTTATAACCACTTTCAAATCTCAAAAAATCTGATCCTTTCCCCTGGACTTTTACCTAGGCTTTAATATCTCTAGGCAACCATTCTGTTCTTGAATTAGCTCAACTTCTATAGTTTTTCTATGGGAAACACCATAGATACTTAGAGCTTCATCAAGCACCTAGAAATTTACAACAAGCCTAAGGCTTACTTTCAATCCTAAATTTTTCTACTGAGCTCTAGACTCACATTTCCAACTTTTCAGTAGAGATTTTCCTCATATTATTCCCAAATATTTCAAATAAAATACATCTAAAACTGAACTGATATCTGAACTATTTCACCTATAGTAATTTCTTTATCTCTTTTCCATTTAAGAGCATCTCCAGCCACCTGATTTCCCTGGCCAGGATGCTGAAATACACTCCCAAATTGAAACAATCCAACAATCCCTTTTTATATAATCCCCTAAGTATATTGCAGTGTGCCATCCTTTCCATCATCTCCTAAAATTAAAGTTTAGGTGGACAACACTTACACTTTGAAAGCCTGATATTCTAGTACAACATTTATTTCTGTAAACGTTTTGCCCCCATGTGCTTTCTTTACCTCATTTCCCACCACTCACCACCACACTCTGCTCCAGCCATATTAATTTACTTACCATTCTATAAGTATACCTCATTTAGTTTACCATATTAATCAGCAGATAGTCTTGCTTAAATCTCTATTTTGAATTATTCCGATAAAGTTAGAAGAAATTATCAGTTAAATTTTTTTCTTTGAATTTCCCACTTTCTCTCCTTCATTTGGACTTCAAGTCATTTTCTTTTAAAAACATGTGAATTTGGGGACCAGCAGGTGGTGTGGTGGTTAAGGCACTGGACATTCCCATATGGCCAACCATGGTTCAAGTCCTGGACCTGGTGGCTTGCTTGCTCTCTCTCTCTCTCGTCAAAATAAAAAATAAGTAAATGAATAAATAAAATTTAAAATAATTTTTTTAAATAAATAAATAAATAAATAAATAAAGCATGTGGTGCTCGCTTCGGCAGCACATATACTAAAATTGGAATGATACAGAGAAGATTAGCATGGCTCCTGCGTGATGGTGACACGCAAATTCGTGAAGCGTTCCATATTTTTAAAACTTATGGCACGGGAATAAAGTCAGCATAAAATAAATGTAAATAAAAGTAAAAAAATAAATAAATGATAAATAAATAAAAGCCTGTGAATTAGATGCCATTCTAGAGAACTTAAGAGTCTTTAAAACCTGGTATCTGGGGAACCAGCAGTTAGCATAATGGCTATGTCGCTGGACTCCCACGTAGTCGACCGCAGTTCGTGTCCCGGACCCGGTGGCTTAAAACTCACGCCGGGCGCGTGTGCGTGCATGCCCAAGATCCCGAGAGGAGAATGGAGGAGAAGGGATTGCAGCGTGACCATCCCCCCTGGGGGGTGATTTCTCGCTCTCTGTCTCTATGTCTCTCTCTGTCTGTCTGGCGAGCGCACGTGCCCTACAGTGAAAATCTCTCCAAAAAAAAAAAAAAAACCTGGTATCTGGATCACTGATTGTCTTTCTTTAAGTAAAGTGGTAAAATGGAGAGCAAAAGGTCCATCTAAAGGCATTCGAATTCATAATATAAAAAAAAATTATTTTAAATTAATGGTTCTAGTGAAAGCAAGTGAACAAATACATACTATACACATACAGGCACACAGATGTTATTCTTCATACTCTTCTGAATAAAATGAAAAAAGACCATGGAATGAACAAAAAGATACATTTTCTACTCAGGCTAGATAGAATTTTTTTTTCTTTTTGGAGAGGTTTTTGCTATAGGACGCGTGCACTCACCAGGAAGACAGAGAGAGACAGAAAGAGAGAGAGAGAGCGAGAAATCACCTCCCAGGGGGTATGGCCACACCCCAATCCCTTCTCCTCCTTTCTCCTCTTGGGATCTTGAGCACGCATGCACATGCACCTGGTGTGAGTTTAAGCCACCAGGTCCAGGACTCTGGGAGTCCAGCGACATAGCCATTACGCTAACTGCTGGTCCCGAGGCTAGATAGAATTTTAATTAGTAGGTATTCAACTCTATATTTAATGCAATTTCATTTGAGTAGAAAACTGTGCACCCTTATATGATCAATCTGTGTCTTGGGGACTATCTATTCATATAGCACTATCTGTGACTTTCAACCTAAAGAAACAAAAAAAAAATGAAAAAGGGAGTAAGGGAGAGAAAGAGGGAAGACAGAAACTAAAAAATAATCAAATTTTCAAAATATTACTCAAAATCCTATAGTATTTTTATTTAAAGTGTATGAATGATCAATTTACTAACACCCAACTTACCTCAGATCCTTCAGGATATCCTTTTCCTGCATATTAAAGGACCTCAGACAAGGAGGAAAATTTAGTGGAGAATGAAGAACTTCATTCTGTTCAAGAGGCCTCTTGGAAAATGTAATTCAATTATGTCCATCTCAGTATATTCTTTCTCCCATTTCACTAATAAAAATTAAAAATCAATGAAAATGATTGTTTTTTTTTTCTGTGTGGGAAGCTCAGCATAAATTTACCTCAGGTTGTGTATTGTCAGCCTAAATTTAGGGATTCTTCCATACAAGAAAAATTCTATGAATGGGCACCTGTGTCCAGTGTGGAATCCAGATCTAATATTGATAGGCTGATGTAGTAAATGCTGAATCAAGAAAATCATCTTGTGAAAAGCAAAATTAGCACAAATCATAAACTGTCCCATTGCCTGTGAAAGCCTCTTAACAAATCGGCTCTAAACACTATTTCTAATGTTTCTTTCTTATGGGATAATGTTAAAATATGCATAACCTTACCTACAGTGTAGAAGGTATTTTATAGTTAGCCATATCCTTACGTTATTGAGAGTACATAAATTAATGTCTGCTAGATTTTAATTTTTATATAAAGCCCAGCTCCCAAAATGTTACTTCTTTTTGCCCACAATTTTACTCTATGACTTACAACAGTTTGAATTTTATGAATATTTTAGGTAAATTGCATTAGAAGTATTTTGTTGTGTTTGTTAGGACCCTTCCATAATTTTGAAAATTTTCTGTGTCTTCCACACCCTGCTTCCACTTCTCTCTCTTCATAAGAAACTTTCATTGTGTAAAATATGTATTTTGGGGATTTTAATTTTTTGAGGTTTTTGCCTTAGGGTATGTGCTGTTACCAGAGAAAGAGAGACAGACAGTGAGAGAGGGAAAGTGAGGAATCAAGCCACTCTGCAATCCCTTCACCTCCATTCTCCTCCAGGGATCTTGGGCATGAACACACATGGGCCAGGCATGATTTTCAAGCCACCAGGTCCAGGACTCAAACTGCAGTCAGCCATGTAGGAGTCCAGCGACATAACCACTACACCATCTGCTGGTCCCAAAATATGCATATTTTTATTTTTAAGTGTTCACAGAAGATATATGATATTCTATTATAGGCGTGTAGTTGTAATTCATGTAGATCATATGGACACATACATGTATAATACTTTTCTCCTGTCAGCAGTACATACTTTTTAAAGAACTGTTTAATTGTGTTATTATTTTTATTTTAATTTGCTGTAGGGCACATGTGCTCACAAAAGAGAGACAGTGAGAAAGGGAAAGTGAGAAAGCAAGCCACCAGATCCAGGACTCAAACTATTGTCGGCCACGTGAGAGTCCAGTGCCTTAACCACCACATCATGTTCTGGCCCCTCAGCAGTACATTTTTAAGATTTACCCAAGATGCTGTCAGTACCTCTATCCATTGATTTTCTTTTAAGGTTTTTGCCATAGGGTGTGTGTGCTCACCAGAAAGAGATAGTGAGAGGGAAAGTGAAAAATCGCCCCTGGGCAGGGGTAGCCACCACTGCAATCCATTCTCCTCTATTCTCCTCCTAGATTTTGGTCAGGTGCACACACGTCTCCAGCATGATTTTCAAGTCCAAGACTTGAACCACAGTTAACCACGTGGGAGTCCAGTGCCTTAACCACTGCATCACCTGCTGGCCCCTATCCATTGATTATTTTATCTTTTTAGAGAGATTTTTGCTATTGGGTGCATGAGCTCACTGGAGAAACAGAGAGAGACAGAGAAACAGAAGGCAAGAATTCACGCCCCCATGTAAGATCCCACAATTCTTTCCCCTCCAGTGTCCTCTTGAGATTTTGGGCATGCACACACGCACATGCACCCAGCGTGAGTTTTAAGTCATTGGGTCCCGGACTCAAACCACAGTCGACTACCTGGGAGTCCAGCAATGTAACTATTATATAATCTCCTGGTACTTTTATCCATTGACTTCAAATGCTGCCTAATAGTCTGTGGCATGCATCCAGCACATTCTACACTTACTTTCTCAGTAATGGACATCTAGATGGCCTCATCTTGCACCCTTAAATAATTTAGTTGGTATGTGAACTCTTTGAGAGTGACATACCATACACACACACATACACACATGCATTTGCTCACAAAGTGAAAGAATTTCCTCTATTCTTCCTAAAGAATTATTTTATTTAGTTTTATTTATTTTAATTTAATCAGAGAGAGACAGAATGAGCCAGAGAGAGAGAGAGAGAAAGAGAGAGTGAGAAAGCAAGCCACCAGGTCCAGGACTTGAACTGGGGTTGGACATGTGGGAGTCCAGCACCCTTAACCACCACACCACCTGTTGGCCCCTGAATTTCCCCTATTTAGAGCAGTTCTCTTTATGTTGTGCACTTTTTCTTCAGTCTATTCTGTACACTATCGATGTCCTAAGCTTTCACGAGTTTTGGTCTACCAATAGTGTCACGTCTTATTTTCCAATGTGGCAAGGGATTTTCCTTTTATTTCCATTTCTCAGAATTGGAGTTCATACGAGACATAAGTACTATCTGTGCTGTGTACCTTCATGAACTAGAAAACCACAATGGCAAGAGATTTAAATACATGCATGTAGAGAAAAAAAATATGTAATAGAAAGTAAGATTTGAATTTATTGGAGAGAAAAAGGTAATTGATAATATATAAGGACCATAAGCCCTTGAAAGAAAATGAGGTTAAAAGCACAGGAACAGATATACATTTAGAACAAAAAAGGATAACTACTGGATTGTTTGGAAAGTCATGATGTATTTTTTTCTCTGTTTTCTCATGCAAAAATGTATTACGACTTTTCCGACAACCCAATAATTCTTTTTCATTGTTGTTGTTTTGCTGTAGGGTACATGACTTGCTGAGAAAGAGACAGAAAGAGAAAGAAAGAAAGTGAGAACGCACTTCCCAGGGGTAATGGCCATCTACAATCCCTTCTCCATTCTCCTCTTGGGATTTTTGAGCAGACACACCCATATGCCCAGCATGTCTTTTCAAACCACCCGTCCAGGACTCAAAACACACAGTCGGCCATGTGGGATGCAGTTGCATTAAACTCCACGCCATCTGCTGGCCCAGGACAACTAATTCTTAGTAAGTAATAAAATAGCGAATAATTAGTTCTTGTGTAAATACATATTGGGAAGACATGAAGGAAAAACATAAGTTCCTTGTTTTTCCTTTAAAATAAGTGGCAAAGCAATTATGTAAGAGAGAAGAGTGATAGTTAGCAAAGTACTTGTTTAAGGTAAGAGTTACCAGGAATCAGACAAAAATGACCAGATGATAGTCATTGAATTAATGAGAAGCACAGTTGAAAACACTGGGATTTCAGATGACATATTTGTTGTGGTACATATCCTTGTGATTGTGAAGGGTTTCATATGATTTATCCCACACAGAGAAGGTGGAATTACAAGGTGAGAACTTTGCATTTATGGGTAATGAGTTGAGCCTTTTTTTTTTTACATTTTTTTCTTTATTTACATTCATTCACTGTACATCATTATAACATACAAAATGAGATTTTTCCATTGAGAATACACTGTATATTGGCTCAATCAAGCACATCAACATATGTGTTATTGTCAACAAATCATTTTCCATTTCTTGTTTTCTGTATATTTTGCCTTTTTTCCCATCCTTGATTCCCTATCTCACCCTCTGCCATCTCCCACCCTCCTTCCACACTGTGTCTGGTATCTATTGTTGCTTTCTATGCCTCCCCCATTTTATTGTTTCACTAAATATCTTAATAAATCTAAATATTTTCAATAGCAAGCACAGAGTTAAGTCTTTAAGATTAGACCGAATGAGAAAGGGATGATGGTAGAAAACTT